GACACGTGTATGGTCAAGATGTGGTCGATTGTGCAAATAATGACTGTATATGTAGTTCAGGTTGCATTTTATAACAAAAAATACTTTAGGTTGAAAATTTCAAAAACAAGTATAATACATATTGGAAAAAATTATTTACCCTTTAAATTATCTAAACAATCTCTGAAATTTATTTTATTCTAAATCCGTCAGCCAAAATTAAGCCCAAGTAGCTTTCTGCTAAAAGTATTCAGAGAGACTGTCTATATTTAAGGTATTATTATCAATAAGAATGAATCTACTTTGCCAGATTAAAAGTTTCCAAGTTGTTTCCGTACTTTTTGCATTGCCGAATATATGATAAGCTGATTTTACGAAGTTGTGCAACGAGTGAATTAGCGAGCATCTGCCATGTAATGTATATTATGCAGTCCAATTAGTAAAACCGTTGGACAATTTAGCTTGACCATTATGTGTAGCTTTAGATCAAGTATCTGATCTGGAGAACAGAGTTTTCAAATCCAAAATCAAGAAAATTTCTTAAAAAAGGAGGCCTGAGTTCTCCAATTATCCACTTGGAAAATAGAATTACTCCACAGCAAGCTGTATGCATGCACTCCTAATTATACAAGAGCCACAATTATTCATGTCCAAAATAGCAATTGAAATTAATCTCAGGGAACACAAACACCTTGGCCGGAAACGTGCCTCCCAAGGCAAACCTCGGCGACCTCAGGGGACTTTCCGGCGGCTCAGCCATGATCGACGGCGGTGAGTTTGACGGAGCAAAAGCTTACAAGGACAGCAAAGTCTGCAACATGCTGACAATGCAGGAGCTCCACAGGCGCTATCACGAGGAGACTGGAATCTCGTTCGCCTCTCTCTATCCAGGCTGTATAGCTGAGACAGGACTTTTCCGGGAGCACGTACCGCTATTCAGGCTGCTTTTCCCGCCTTTTCAAAAGTATATTACTAAAGGATATGTCTCGGAGGAGGAGGCAGGGAAGAGGCTGGCGCAGGTGGTGGCAGATCCGAGTCTCTCGAAATCGGGGGTTTATTGGAGTTGGAATAAAAACTCGTCCTCGTTCGAGAACCAGCTGTCGAAGGAGGCTAGCGACTCGGACAAGGCACGTAAGCTGTGGGAGGTGAGCGAGAAGCTCGTTGGATTATTGCCTTAAAGACGAACTCGAAAAACTAAGGCCATTAATGTAGAGAGTGTGTGGAGAAATTAAAAATGTGGCTCATTGGGTTGTGATTGACATTATGTTGGATAGCATACTCGGGAAAGTTGTTTGGTTGAAAGCAACTGGGAATGAATTTTGCTGTGTTTTTCTTCTCGATCTCAACTTCGCTCTCGTACCCATCTCGAAACATCATCTCGATCTGCTCGAGCGACTTCCCTTTCGTCTCGGGTACTACACACTGGCGGACCTAGACAGGGGCACGGCCCCCTGTGCAATTTTTTTTTAAAAAATTAGTATATATATAATTATATTGTAAAATAATTACACATAGATTTATTTGTATTATGTTGTAGGCAATATATATAAATGAGTTACATCGATTTTTTCATAAAAATCAATATTGATTTTGATACATATTTAATTTTAGGTGTTCCTAACACTATAATTATAATTATAAGTTTAAAATTAGGTACTAAATTGTGTTTGTCATTGACTTTTTAACTAACTAGTAAAGTGCACGTGCGATGCACGTGCTGACGAATGTTTTTGCCGATTATATATATTTAGAATGATAAATTAATTAATTTATCAAACATATCATTGCAGGAACAAAATGAATATAGAACAAATAAGCTCTGGATGTATTTTTTGTCAAAAATAATAATGTCCTAACATAAAAAGGATTTAAATAACATGTTACAACCCAACCAAAATATATGAAAAATGAGTCCCTAATAGAAAAAACATTAAATAACCAAATATGGATCTAATGTATATCATAAATGCATTCTTTCTTTTATTTATTTATGTTAGATTCAAGAGTGGTTTTCTTTCATTTTGATTTTGACGTTCTCCTAAGAAAGATTCATACTCGTTGGAGCAATACATCAATAATATTGCAAAAATTTTTTAATTAATTTGGCGAAACGTCTACTTTATTCAATACATACAAATATTTCCGCTAAACATATAGTCAAACTTCATGATTGTATGATCATTATAAGGTACTTCTACTAACAGTTCATAAATATCTATGTGAAATAACGAACTGTGTGAATTTTTTTTAATCATTGTATAAACTATTACATTACTTTCTCTCTCCATACAGACAAAATGGTGCATTCCCATAAGGTGGAAAAGAATTTCATCTCTAAATAAAAATTGACTTTCCAAAATCTTGATTTACTTCACCCCAGAAACTAAATTAATTTTTGAAATCATCACTCATTAGATGAAAGTATGTACTCTAAAGTAATTGTACATATGATGGAGCACAATACACAATTGAGATTGTAAATATTCCTATAAAAAAGTGACAACTTATTCAAACATTCAAAAATATTTTGATCAGAATCAGACATTTCTTTTTCAATGTTATTTATTAGGAAGATAGACGAACTACATAATCTATTGTTTGTAAATCATTGAGCTTTTTGGTTGTTGCAATGATTTTAGAGTTATTTATCATAAACCATTCACATTCATTTGGATTTACATATTTATTTGATGCAATTATTGTCCAACTTTTTGCATCATACATATTACTTTGAAAATTCAAGATAAAGATGCTTTCTTGATTCTTCAACAATAACAAAACAAAACAATATTTGGCTTTATTATTTATCAAAACATTTGAGATTAGGAGAATTTGAATTCTATTATAATGAAACTCTTAGTCATCTGTGAATTTTATTATTACGAATTCCTTATTAAAGTATGGTCTATATTATGATAATATATTGTCATTATTTATGAGAACTACTTTCTTGCAAAGAACATATACTTAGATGCTAACAACAACAAAAAAAGTAGAAATTTTAAAAGACTTGTATTTCTTGATATTGTTATTCATACTTCTCTAAGAAAATTCAGACTTTTCCTTTCCCCCATTGTATGATTATTATTTTATTTGCTTTTATTTTAGTCACAGATAATATTTTATTTATTGAAAGAATTAGAGCACTTTATATGCAATGGTGTTCCCTTTTAAGAGGTAATTGAATAATAGTTTAACATACATCTCATTTATTTATTTTTTTTAATTCACATAGTTAGTGTTGGCAATAGTTGTACATTTTCTTATTATAAATATTTTAAATCTATGTAAGAAAGCATACCACAAGTTTATCTAATGTTATTTATACTTAATAAAAATGAGATTGCATGGATCTATGATTTATTTTATAAGATACTTTTAGGTCCATTTATTATTTTAAATTGGTATTAATAGATATATATTTTATTATTTTATATTGATATAAATAATTATATTATTTTAATTTTATTACAATACTTTGGTCAAATCAAACATCATTGAAAAGAAATGATGAAATATATTACATATAAAAAGTGTAACAATTAAAAAATATTAAGTATTTCAAATTGAAAAGTTAAGAAAGCAGAAAATAATTAAATTAAGACTAACAAACTAATTTTAATGCACAAAAATAAGTATATTCTTTATAAACGTGCACTTTAAGTATGTTTTACATTTATCATTTGTCAGTTCCAATTGATATATGACATTAATTAGTTTTACAACTTTTTTTACATTTGGATGGAATGCGATCTATAAGCTTTCTCATTGTCTATTCTTACCTTTTTATCACGTAGCACATCATTCTTACCCTTTGTTTAGTTATTATAATACTAATAAAATGATTAAAGATTTTTAAACGTAGATATATCTTATTTAGTTTGAAAAAAATACTAATTATCATAAATTAAATGATAATTACATAGAATTTGTTATATTTTGTATCATTATCAATAATGTTTATACTAATTATCTGCACAGAACATTATATATAATACAAAATTTTTTAGTTTGATTTGGAGCCATACTTTTACTACAAGAAAATGATGAAATTTCAATGATAATATGTTACAACGGAATTTCAACGACAATTTTAATGAATATTTCAATGTTATACTCCCGTTTGATTTTTTCAGTGAAAATTCTAATAAAAATATTTTGTTGAAATTATGGGCGGATCCATGTTTATCTAATAGTCCCGACACAGACCTCTTCCCAAAACATATAGCATAAGATATCTAACAAAAATTATGGGAACATTTTTCATAATTTTAATAATTCCCCTATTTAGAAAATAAAACTAAAAGACAGAAAGATACATAATGAATTAATTACAACTCAACTACTTATAGTTGAATTCAACTCATAACTTTATTACAGATATAATATAAACGTGGTATTACAACTAAAGAAAATATGATGGTTATCAAAATATTACAATTTTACGCTCCAATTCTCTCTTTTCTTTTTAATCTTGATTATAGTTTCCATTCTCTGTTTTGCCACATATTTTTTTAACTTTAAAATAAATTTTCTATGTTTTACTTAACTGTATGTAGAATTCTAGTAATATATTCATAATTTATACATTCATCAATTATATTGTCGAGTCAACTATACTACAACATATTTTTGTTTTCACAAAAAAATTAAAAAAATTATATTATTTTTTATTTTCTTATTTTTTATTTTTCTTAACGAAATTCACACAACAATAAATAATGGTACTTGGAATCGAACTCACAAAAATTTCAATGTAATTTAATTTGAAATATATTACTTATAAAAAGGTAAAAAATAAAAAATACTAAGTATTTAAATATTAAAAGTATAATGGCAAAAAATAATTAATTTTTAAGTAAAAAAAATTAAGACTAATATACCGAATTTAATGTGCATCTTAAGTATGTTTCTTATTTATCATTCGTCATCACCAATTGATATAGGACATTAATTAATTTTATCACTTTTTTGACATTTGGATTGAATGTAAGCTATAAGCTTTCTCATTGTGTGGTCTTATATTTTATTACATAGATCATTATTCCTGCTCCTTGTTTAGTTATTATATTACTATTAAAATAATTAAAAACTTTTCAACCTAGATGTATTTTTTTTGTTTTGAATTAAATGTTAATTATCATAAATTAACTGATAATTACATTGATTATGTTATATTTTGTATCATTATCAACAATTTTCATGATAATTAACTACACAAAATATTTTTTATAATTCATTTTTTTTTTTTATGGATTTGGAGTCATACGTTTATTATAAGAGAATGATGAAATTCCAACAAAATATATTACAATGAAATTTCAACGATCATTCTAACGAATATTTTAATGTTATTACTTCCATTTCAATTTTGCAATGAAAATTCTAACAAAAATATATCGTTGGAATCATAGGCAGATTCATGTCCTGAGAGAGGCCTTCAACCCGAACCATGTAGCATAAGGTATCAATTTGCGCAGTATAACAAAAATTGTGAGAACATTTTTCATAATTTTAATCCTCTATTTAGAAAATATTATTAAAAAGAAATAAATATACATAATTAATTAATTTACAACTCTAAAAATTCTAATTTAATTCCGCTCATAACTTTGTTAAAGTTATAACATAAACGCGGTATCACAACTAAATTCATAATTTTACCTTTTGTTTTATTTTTCTAATCTTGATGATAACTTTTATTCTCTCTTTTACGATATATTTTTTCTCTAACATCAAAATATACTTTTATGTCTTTTTAAATGTATGTGGAATTCTAATTATATATTCATAATTTATAATTTATCAATTATATTATCGAGTCAACTATACTACAACATGTATTTTTTGTTAATAAATTTTTTTAAAAAATATATGCTATTTTCAACGATTTCATTATATTGAGTTGAGAAAATATATGTTGTTTTTAAATATATTAACTTATTAGGACTGTATTGATGTGTTAAAAAAATATTACAAATGAAGAATATGATAAATTATGAACAATATAAGTTATAAATTGTTATGACAATATGTTATTTTACTTGGTGTATTACTAATTTGTCATTAAAAATATATAAAAGTATGGGTGTTTTAGGTAGTTCATATTTTTACAAAAACACTCGTCCTTTTAGAGTAGTATAGATAAAATATTTATTTTTAATTATTATAAAGAAGTCCATGAATGCGTTGTAAGAATATCCAATGGAAAAGAAGAAAAAATGGTATTTGAAAAAGATATATTTAATGAAATTTGAGTTTATGTAATTATAAGTGATATAATATATAAGAACATGCAGATAATAAATATCAATTTTTTTTTTTTTTATTTTGCACTTTGTAAATGTTACGTTTGTGCCCCCTTAGTCTTACAAGTCTGCGTCCGTCTCTGCTTGTACACAAAAGCCACCGCAAGTCCCGATATGGCCGTGAACACGAAAAACGTCCACCCCATGTTGATCCCGTCCGCCACCGACAAAAACGACATCACCACCAACCCACTGCACACTCGGTTCCCCACTGCCCCTAGCGCTGACGCCTGCACTCTCAAAGGAAATATCTCC